TTCATGATTGTTGGTATGTTTGTGTCCATTGTTGAAGGTATTGTGTCAATCCATCTCACTGAGTGTTTCTCTCATTTTTACTGACCCTCTACTTTACCAAACATGATGTCCTTTTCTAGTGATTGGTCTTTCCTGATGACATGTCCAAAGCAAATGAGCCGAAGTCTCACTATCCTCACTTCCAAGGAGCATTCTAATTGTAGTGGTTGTAGCTCTCAAAAAGTCTTTGTACCGTGAACCTACACATATGGACCCACAGAGTTAGTGGAAGCAGTCCTCTATTAAGTCCTCTATTAAGACCCTGCCTTGGCCCTAGATGAATCACACTCCCTTCCCCAGGAATTTGGAGGATCAAGATTCCAGCTTCAGTCAGACTGGTCTCTTGAAAACAGAGTTGTGGGAGTTTTTGTTCCAATGGCTTTACTGGAAAGACAAGAAAGAGAAACAAAAATCACTCTGAGAAAAGACTTCATGGCCTTTGAGCACTGAGGCCCAACAGCATCCTTGACCTGAACTCTCCCACACAAAATGATCCCTCTTTTTTGGCTAAAGTTACTGCAACCTAGAGTTCTAATGGACCCACCAAATTAATGATTTTTGAGCCAAAAAATGACATGACTACTTTAGGAAGATTCATCTGGCAGCAGTTTATAAGCTACATGAGACGAGGGAAGGACCCAAAAGCAGAGAGAAAGGAAATCTATTATAATGGCCCAGGCAACAGGAAATGATGATGCAGAGACAGTGGAAATAGAAAAAGGGAGTTTAAGGGCAGAGGGGGAACACATGAACATTCTAATTCCTTTTCCAAGTTCCATTATATCCTTCTAGTGGACAAGGCTCGAATACCCCCCCGATAGTTTGATAAGGATAAGCTTTTCTTTTCTCATAAAGCATCGATATACTACCATGGACACTTTTTTTTCTTTCCAATTCTGTTTATAATTAATTTGTGAAAGATTTTAAAAATTTTCCCAGCATTTTATTATGAAAACTTTCAAACATATAGCAAAGCTGAAAGAATTTTAAATGAATACCCGTACTCCCATATACCTACCTCGGGATCATACTGCTGACATTTCTCTATACTTTTGCTTTATCATATATGTAGTTATCTCTATCCCTTGATCCATCCATTAATCCATTTTATTTTTGGTACCATTCCAAGTAAACCACAGACATTAATACACATCCTCCTAAATAAGTCAGTGGGAGTATCATTAACTAGAGTTTAATATTTGCTTTTTCTTCTTTTGATATAAAATTTAAATACAATGAAACATACAAATCTCAAATGTACATTCCCTGAGTTTGAGATACACGTGCATAAACCAAATCCTTATCAAGATACAGAATACTACTATCGTTCAAGAAGATTCTTTCATGCCCTTGCTAGTCCATCCTGTCCCCATCCCTCACCCCCAGGCAACCTCTTCTTTTTTCGACTCTAGATTAGTGTGGGGAGAGGCTGTTTTTAATATTCTTCTTGAGGCTACTGCAGTAGCATTCCAAGCCCAGGTCCTCAAGGTCAATCTCTAGGGATAAAATGTAGCCAATCTGCATTCCTTCCCTACCCAACAATGATATGCACTTGTGCCCTTTCAGTGCTGGGGATAAATGAGCAATAAATTCACGTGGCCCCAAACTTCTCTGAAGATAATAAAGAATTGTAAAGTCCTCCACTCGGGTTCATAAAAAGATTCAGGGCCACACAGCCTTTTATGAAAGCAATTTTCAGTGTAAATTAAAAAAAAAAAAGTATATATGGGACTTCTCGGTACGAAACTGCTCAATTTTTCTATAAACCTAAAACAGCTCTAAAAAAAAAAAGTCTATTAATTAGAAGAAAAAGGAAATTGCTTAACAAAAACTGGACTAGCTAGCAAAACTGGAAAGTTAAAAAAAGGCCCAAAAGCTTACTGTGTATTTTTCCATATGATTATATACTTCATATCCCTTAATTGCTAAAGGCAGATGGTATAATAGGAAAATTAAAAAAAAAAAAACAAGCCTGGGTCTAACCACAAAATAGGCCAAGATGTCCGTGTTTTTAAAGACAAAAAACACTTGGACACGTTACTTTATCCCTCAATATATAAATGGTATTTAAAACATTTATTTTGTTCTAGGGGGCAGTGGTGCTTCGGTGGTAGGTTCTTGCCTTCCATGCAGAAGACCCTAGTTTGATTCCCAGCCAAAGCACCTCATGCATAGCCACTACTTGTCTGTCAGTGGAGGCTTGTGTGTTGCTATGATTAACAGGTTTCCATGGAGCTTCCAGGCTAAAATGAACTAGGAAGAAAGGCCTGGCAATCTACTTCCAAAAATCAGCCAGTGAAAACCTATGGATCACAATGGTCTGATCAGCAACCAATCTGGGGATGGTGCAGGACCGGGAAGCATTTTATTTTGTTGTGTGGGGGCCAACTCAATGACAGCTGACGACATTTTGTATTAACCATGGGTGATCTGGTTATCCACATGTTCACGTACAAGCACATCCCTGGTTATACTGGAACCCATGGCACCAACAACGTCTTCCCTCTCCCATGCCCAACCTAATGTTTTTAAGGGCTGCATTTTGTGTGTGTGTGCGTGTGTGTTGGGGAAGGTGTTGGAAGGGCCTATGTGGAAGGTCACCATGGTAAGGCCGTGTGTCACTACAGATCCTGTCCCTGTAGCAGGGCAGGAGGATCCTGGGTGCTCAGTTCCAGTTTGTCCTGCTCCAGGGACAACTTTATAAATAAGGCCACAGTGGGGCACAACCACAGTTCAGAGACTTTTTCCTTGTTGAGTATTGACCACGCCTACAGGCGGTACTCAGAAACAGGCTTCAGTTCTGGCTTGCTTGGCCCTCAATTCCTTAATGACTGGAGGTGACACGAACACACAGGGGCCAGGAGTCTCTTCTCCACAGAAGCATCCCTCCTCCCCATTTCACATTAAACGGAAAATGCCCCACTCTTTACTCCCCATGAATCTCCCCCTCCCATTAAATGTGGAAGATGGGCCTTCACCTGGAAACCAAGGAACAAGCAAAACTGAGAGTCAGAGACAGGTGAGTCCACAAAACATCCAAGAGATAAACAAAGGTGGAAAATAAGACAAGTGCTAAACTATAGGGTCATAACTACTACGTGGGAATTTAATAAAAATATCAAAGAATTAAAATACCTGAAAAGAAGGTAGTAAACGAGGGCTTATTAAACTCCAGGCATGTCTTTCTGGACATATGAAGGTGGACCTGGACAGATCGGAAAGGATGGGGAAACGAGCCGAGGAGTGGGCAGCCACCTTTCATCCTCAGGGAAAGGAAAAGAGATGCAGAATAAGAAAGGTCAAATAAATGGAACTTCTCAGAACAAAGACAAGTGAAATATCTCAATCTATAAGTGTTAAAACTAATTAGAAAAAAAATCCTACCCATAAATCATCTTGCTTGTCCTCTCTGGAAGAAAAAACAAAGCCTTTTCTCTCTCTTGTGGTTTAAATGAACTCAGATCTCTTCCAGCAATAACATCAAATTCTAGTTTTATATATTTCCATTAAAGCAGAGAGGCAGCAAGATTTAATCAGGAATTTTTAAAACCCCTTTCCTTTAGTCACCTGAAAGGACCTCCCACCCTATTTTGTTTTTCTTCAGCTAATTTTATTACCACCTAAAATTTTAATTATTTATTTGGTTATTTGTCCTCCTCTTACCAACCCCAACCTCCCCCCCCGCCACACACACACACACACACACACACACACACAAAAAGAATGTTAACTCCAAGAGAGCAGAGTCTAGACTTACTTGCTGCTGTGGTACTTCCCACTCCCCCGACACCTAGTAAACCAAAACCAAACCAGTTGACTTTGATTCGATTCCAACTCACGGTGACCCCATGTGTGCAGAGTAGAACTGCACTCCACTGGGTTTTCATGGCTGTGATCTTTTAGAAGCAGATCACCAGGTCTTTCTTCCAAGGCACCTCTGGGTAGGTTCAAACTGCCAACCTTTCAGTTAGTAGTAGGGTGCTTAATCATTTGCATCACCCAGGGTTTCTTTCTGGCACCTTGCACATGCTTAAAAACATTTCCTGAATGTGTGGGGACCATGGTCTCAGGGAACATCTAGCTCAATTGGCATAACATAGTTTATAAAGAAAATGTTCCACACTCTACTTTGGTGAGTAGTGTCTGGGGTCTTAAAAGTTTGTGAGCGGCCATCTAAGATACTCCACTGGTCTCACCCTGTCGGGAGCAAGGGAGAATGAAGAAAACTAAAGACATAAGGGAACGATTAGTCCAAAGGACTAACGGATTACAACTACCACGACCTCCACCAGACTGAGTCCAGTACAACTAGATGGTGCCCAGCTACCACCACCGACTGCTGACAGGGATCACAACAGAGGGTCCCGGATAGAGCTAGAGAAAAATGTAGAACAAAATTCTAACTCACAAAAAAGACCAGACTTACTGACCCGAGAGACTTGGAGAAACCCAGGAATATGGCCCCCGGACACCCTTATAGCTGAGTAATGAAGTCACTCCTGAGACTCACCTTTCGGCCAAAGATTAGACAGGCCCATAAAACAAAACGAAACTAAAGGGGCACACGAGCCCAGGGGTAAGGACTAGAGGACTAGAAGGCAGGAAGGGACGGGAAAGCTGGTAATAGGGAATCCAAGGTCAAGAAGATAGAGTTTGACATGTCATGGGGTTGGTAACCAATGTCACAAAATAATGCGTGTACTGTTTAATGAGAAGCTAGTTTGCTCTGTAAACCTTCATCTAAAGTACAAAAAAAAAAGACAAAATTCCTGAATAAATGAAAGTAATGACTCCATGTGTTATACCAACCACACCAAATACAGTACTGTTTTTAAATTGTGCTTTAATTTCTGCAATCAGATATGATGCAGTGAGATACAAGTATAAAGTTTTGTTGTACATTGAGAAAATAAAAAGCACATTTATACAGATTTAGCCCAACAGCTTATTCCCTTGGGGAAAAAAAAAAAAAAGGAAAGTTTTGAATTTAATTAAAGCTAGTTTATCTTCAGTGTAAAAACTCGGAGGTATAAACAAACTCAAGATATTATATACAGTAAATTAATGTACATTTCCAAACTTGCACAGTGCAGCGTTTTCAACAAAGTCAATGGTCTCATTTTAGCTTTAACTGTTAAGCATAACTCACCTCTCAATCTTGCATAAAAATTTCACAATATATAAACCCACTGAGAATTCTGTACACAAATACAAGTTATAGAAATCTGACTTCAAATATAAATAAGTAAATTGTCATGACCTCACGTTACAACAGCTTCCTTATTTTTCTATTGCAGTTTTTAAAAAAAATCGTAGAAAAATATTTCAATGCACATTCAACTGGTGTGACAACAGCCATGACCTTGTGCCTTTAAACCATACTTTGTGGAGTGTAAAGCATGACACCGGGCATTTTTGGAATGAAAATCACTACGATCCTAAGACTCAAGAGGCTACCGTATAAATATTCATAATATGGTAACAAAAATAGTTAGTTCCATAGTGTATTTGGGAGGCAACGGGGCAGAGAAGTGGAGGTTAGTGCTAGTTTAAGAAGGCCCATAGGACATATGTGAAAGTGGCTAAAGAACTAGTGTATTTTTAAAATCCCTACTGCAAGCCTAACACTGACTTCACTAGCAAGATGCCTAAGGCGACCAAAGCTTGACATGTGTTTGGCCCTCCGATGCGTGAATCCTGCCCTCCCCTCAAATCTGTCCTCCTAGCAGACCAACCTAACATGGAGTAAGGAGAACAGCAAAACAATTCGCTGTATGTACCAAACGATTCAGTGCAAACTTAGAAACTCCTCTTTGTCAATACTTTTAAGATTTCTTACTTCCCTTGAGCAACTGAAAGTTTTTCTAAACAGTTAATATTCAAATTGGGATCTATATTGGAGAGCAAACGTATATAAAAGGCAAACGTTCAGTTTGAAACAGTCTAGCATGAGATTTTTTTTGTTTCTTCCTCTTGTGGGATTTGACAGGGTTCCATTCAGAATTAAAAAACTGGTCCTTACAAAGTGTGCTTTCCTGCATTAAAAAATATATATCATTTAGACAGCAGATCCAAGAAGGATATCAGGCATAATCAAGTTTCTTCTATGGCTTTTTAAATCACTGAGGTACTATATGATAATCATCACTTCTGACATTTATGTTTAACTGCTTTCCTATGAAAGCCACATTCAAAGGTGGTCCTACCTTGTGTGTCTGTCAGGGCAGCAGACAGTGTGAGGAAACCATCTGAGCGGTTGCTACAGAGGGCCACGCCACAAATGCTCTGGAGCCCTGGCATGCATTAGAAAAAGACAAAGCAATTAATTGCCAACACCGAGAGACTCCAGAAGAATGGAAGCTCCCCTGGGCAAACCAAAAATATTCCCCCAGCTGAACACTAGGTTTAGCAGCAAGAAACTGGAGCTATGTGCACCAAGGCAGGGGGCATGGAGGGCATGGTCCAGAGCAGGCAGGGAAAGTCCTGGAGGTGTCAGCACATGTCAGCCCACCACCCATGCACAACGTGACACAGTCTAGAAAGGAGGGTCTGGAACTAGAGTGAGTGACACAGGGAGTTTCCCCAGTTTTCCTACAGGCAAGTGGGGTAGACAGGAAAAATGCTAAGAACAGTTTGTTTAGACAAATGCCATACATCCTAATACCTCTATTTGAATCATTCAATTGACCATACAAGTATCATGTAAAACTGCACTTGCTTCTAATTGAGATGGGTTATAGAGAAATTGACTATTCCCAATGACTGGATAAATTTTCTTGGCATGGAAAGCATCTGAAGAAAGTATCAAGTTCAAGAATATCTTACAAAGCCCTTTTTAGTTAGTAAACCAGCCATTGTAGGTTCCGTGTAACACTTATGCATCAGAAAACGGCCACAATCCTTGCACGGGTCAAGTAGTAATCCCTCTCATTTAACAATACTAGGCATATGGTTTTAATTGCATGGCCTTTCGCGACCATGAAGAAAAATGAGAACCAGCTCTTTTCCTGAAGGCCCAGGTTTACTCCAACACAGCAACAGGCAATGACCCTCCCAGTATGAAGCTTCAGCGTGACACACCAATCCAGAGATCAAATGTGTCTGACTCCTGTCCCAATCTTCAACATTCCTTTTTTACAATAACTGAGGAAACAAGTCACACGTCTCCTAGATCCACAAACTCATCTTCTCGTTTGGCCAAATCTTCTTCATCTCCCAAGGCTTTCCAACCACTGGTAGGTAAGACTGGCTTAGAGGAATACCGCTGGAGCAAAGCGAAAGGAAACAGAGAGGACAGGCGGGCGGAATTCCTCAGCAGGGAGGAGGCCTCTGCCTGGAGGGCCACCTGGCTGTGGTGTTTCTCGTCTATTTTCTCTTGTAAGATCTGTACTTCCTCCATAATTTCCAAGAGTTTGCTCAGAGTGGCCACTCTGCCACCACCTAGGATCTGGGCTTCTGGAATCCAACGCAAGTACCTCTGAGCCCAGACTTTGATTTCTGGTCCCTCTATGTACGGCAACAACAAACCATGGTAGTCGGTAGGTTTGCTATGCCAGCTGTCGTAGAACTCTCGAAAGTTGTCTTGCAGCTCATCAGAAGAATTAATAAGTTTGCTAATTCTCTTGCCCAGAAGGTTTTTAATTAAATGATCTGTTTCTTCCCTGAAAAATCCTCTTTTGGGAGATGATTTCGATTGGGTGAGTGGCAAAGAAAGTTGTCGTTGATGCTTTGAGAGAAAACAAATGAAAACCTCTGGTTAACATAAGAGGAAGAGTTACAGCTGTTACCATCGAAAACAGTGCATAACTGTTTTAGCAGGTATCAGGAGACATCAGAATTGCCTTGTGAAGGCAAATTCATTAAAATACTATAACATACACAGGGAAGTGGAGTTTGTTTATTCATATGATGCAAATGTTACATGTACGCTGTATGTGTAAACACATGGGCGGACCCAGGTGCGTATGGGAGCTTGCAGAGACACATGCTTTGACACAAAGAGTTAAGCTTTTAATACTCTACTCTCTGTAATTTTGTTGGTAGTTGCTGCTTGATTCCAACTCATGGCGACCCCACCTGTGCTAAGCAGAACTGGTCTATGGAGTTTTCAAGGCTGTGAACTTTCAGAAGCAGATTGCCAGGCCAGTCTTCCGAGATGCCTCTGGGTGGGTTCGAACTGCCCATTTTTCAGCTAGCACTCCAGTGCTTAATCATTTGTGTCACCCAGGGACTCAGCCCTGCAATACCAAAAACCAAACCAAAACCACTGCCACAAGTTGATGCTGGCTCAGCAAACTATAGGACAGAGTAGAACTGTCCCATAGGGTATCCAAGGCTATAAATCTTTATGGGAGCAGACTGCCACATCTTTCTCCTGTGGAGTGGCTGGTGGGTTCAAACGGCCAAACTTTTGGTTAGCAGAGGACTTAACCACTGGGCCACCAGAGCGCCTTCTCCCCTGTAATAACCCGTTGCTGTTGAGTTGATTCCAACTCATAGCAACCCTAAAGGACAAAGTAGAACTGCCCCACAGGGTTTCCAAGGAGCAGATTTGAACTGCTGACCTTTTGGTTAGCAGCCATAGCTCTTAACCACTGTGCCACCAGGGCTCCCTCCCCTGTAACAGGGGTATAAAAGTACACAAAAAACTCTCGAAGAACAAGTTTAACTTAAGGTAGGTTGATGGTTTAGGGGAGTTTGGGGGTGATACCTAATCATTTTTGGATGGAAGTAAAATGTTTCCTCTTTGGAGAATTTTAGGGCTATTGGCTTCTACAATATTCTGAACACCTGTGAGGAAGCAGTGACAACTACCTGAAGATTCTATCATTTTAATGAAATAACCGCAGATTACCAGGCACTCAATGGGAGTTTAAGTCTAAGACATAAAGATTTTTTTTTTGGGCAAAGTGAGCAGAGGCAAGTGGGAGCAAAAGGAATGTGAGGAACCAGCGAAGCTGGCCAGACGTCCTTGTTTGACAATCTGCATGGAGTAGAAAAGGTGACAGCATTTACATTTTTTTCCCTGAGTAATTCTATCTGCAGCAAAAGCAAGGCATTATATTTGGGGGTGCACTGTGATTGGGCTGTAAAGATGAGTAAAGTGCCCAAAAGAGAAGTAAAAAATACGGGGAGAAGCTGCTTCTCTCCAACTCTTTTGCTCCTGAGATGTTCATTTGAACTAAGAGTAGATAAAAAATTTTATAGGCTAGCCCTAAAACTCTCTATTTCTGCCAGAGGTTCTTTCTTTTTTAAAAAAAGTATTCTTTATTATAAAGGAAATATTTTTTTATTATAGAATATGGAATAACAAAGTAAAAGGAAGAAAGCAAAATCATCCACAATACTGTGACTCACAGAGTACCATGATTTCTGACTCTCCATCCCAGGATAGGAGACAAAGGCCAGGAGCCAGCTGGCCTCCCTTCTCCATAGTGATCAAGCTGAGTCAGGTGGGTTGAGGGGACCAGGGAATGCAGACGAAAACTACTCATCACTGAGTGCTTACTACTTCTCAAACCCTCTGAGGTACTCACTATTATCACCCCATTTTACAGAGGAGGAAACAAGGGATGGAGTCCAAGGGCCAAATATGGTTTCAAACATAGTCTGGCTCCAGTCCCATTCTCTCAATCTTATAAGGAGCTCCTAAGTGAATGGAATGTTCTAGATGGACCAAGGTGGGCACAGTACCATGTGCCCAAAGCCCGAACAAGCCAGAGGCCGAAGTTGAGACTGTACACCTGACCAGAATCCGTATAGCTCACGTGGCAATTCACAAAGCAGCACTTCCTTTTCTTCATCTACAGTGTCTTCAGAGTCTACAGAACTTCTTCAAGGCCATCTGTCCACTCAACATGGTGCCCCAAACCTGACATCTGGTTGTCTTACTCAAATGCTTCAAAGTTCCTTGTTGTCCCAGCCCCCACTCTGCTTTATTAGGTGCAATCTGAGATTCTTCAGCCCTTCGGCTCCAACATCTCCCACCAGTCTGCTCTTGCAGCCTAAATCATGTGCCCCACCTACAAGGATAAGACACACTTAGGAAAACTGGACCTGGGGAGAGAAATGAAATCCAGTCTCAGAAGGCAGAGCCTCAGTCTCTGAGGCTGGTCCCTTCCAACTCTGCTCCGGAGCCGTTCTGTGAGCTTAACTCAGCTATCACGAGACGTGTGCATGCGGCCACCAGGGGGCACAACACACTGACGAAAAACGGAGCTCTGGCCAAGCTGTCTGGAGCTCAAGGCAATTCTGGCCAAGCCAACAGAAAAAGAAGTTGAACCAGAAACTTCTACCTCAGGCCCCAGGACCCTTGAAAGGGCAAAGTTCTGAGTTGTTTAACAGCCCACATCTTTAGCTCACCCAAGTCTCTAATCCACTTTAGGATGGAATTAACTCCCACCCAGAAACAGCCAGGCTCCCTGGAACTCCACAAGCACAGACAGATGGAAGCAAGGCAAGGTGGTGAAGGCAGCGACACACACTGACTTGGAATTTACCACACTGCTCTCGCCTCTTTGTGGGGCCTGTGGGAGAAACTCTGGGCCAGGAGCAGAGCTAGGAAATGCCATTGAAATAATTTATCATATAGGGAAGTTTAGGGTTATAATGACCAGTAAAATCAAGAACAAATATCTGAAGGAGAACCCAATTAATTCTTTGACATTTGTGGTTTACAGCATGAGTCAGCAACTACAGCCCAGGCCAACAAACTACAGGCCATAGACCAAATCTGGCCCGCCGCGTTCGTGTAAATAAAGTTTTACTGGAACACAGCCATACCCATTGATTTACATGTTGTCTATGACTGCTTTTGTACTACAACAACAGAGTGAAGTAGTTGCGACAGAGACTACATGGCCATTTACAAACGCAGCTTGCTGATCTGTGGTTTACGATTATATCTAATTAAGAAGAGTCATGCTGTTTACCAACATGAACCTGCAGCTACTGAGAGTAAAACCATACAGTCAGTGCTCCTTCTAGTCTATTAACCACACGCACAGGAAGGGGGACAGGCACGACTCCACTCAGCATGACTACTGTGGCAGCAGCATCCTGAGTGACATGAAGCAATGGCCATATCTTATCGGGGCAAAGGCTGATTTGCCGAAAACAAAGGACTCTAATGAGCCCTGACAATTTGCCAGTCACAAATCTCGGCTCTGCAGGCTGTTTCAAGGGGGAAAGCACACTTTGACAGACAAAATACATATGCAACACTGATCTGTACATATATGGGGATCTCCGGGCAGATGAAGGGGGTTTAGATATGCAGACATCTTACTTTGAAACGCATTCCTTTCCGCTGGCTTTTGTCCAGTTTTGCCTTTTCCACATACAGAGGGTTTCTGAACAACATCTGGGCTTTGGGTTCAAACTGTACATGCCAATCCCACACGGTGAGCAGATTCAAAGGCTTGCTTTGTGCATCCTGGCTTTCCCTACCCTGCCCAAACGAGCACAGGTCACGATGGCTTCCTGGGGAAGTCTGGGGAAAGCAAACACATAATTCTGAAAGACAGGCACCAGCATGGTGCCCCTGCTCTGCCCGGAGACTGAACCGTCAGGGGCACTTCACTTTTAACGGATGCAACCGTCAGCAGTTGTTCACTAAAGGTTTTAGGTGAGGGTGGCGGGGGTGGGGAGGGAGAGAAGAAGGACTTATTACTTTCCGGCTAACCACAGGTCAGCCACTCTGTTGAGCACTTTCATAAGAATCTTGTGAGGTGGGTGTTATTTTTCCAGTTTTACATTTGAGGAAACTGAGGCTCAGAAAATTGAAGTGAACTGCCTGACTTCACAAAGCTGGTGAGCGGCACGGCTGGGACCCGAAACCAGGCTGTCTGACTGGGAATCCCAGGTTCTGTCTCTCCACTTGACTGTGGGGGCTGGTAAAATCCCTCCTGGAGGGCCAGCTCCAGCAAACTCCGAGGGCAACGGACGGCTGGTCAGAGCGCTGAGAGTCACACAGACAGTGAAACCTCTGGAGCACAGCCTCAAGAGAGACTAAAACGGTCTAAAACAGAAAGCAAACGCTTAGCTTCCCTGCTCTGCCTCTCGCCATTCTCTTCACAGAGTAACTCCAGGCATCAGGCAAATGGAAGAGAAGACATCTGGTCTGAACCGTCTTTAAAAAGGACAACTTTTAATTTTTGCTTAATTCCCTGGCTCCAACACTTGCTCCTAGAGCCAATACTTAACTAGCTGTGTGAACTTGGGCAAGTTACTTACCCTCTCTGTGCTTCAGTTTCCTCAGGAATTATGACAGTACATTCCCCATAGGTGCTATGAGGATGAAATATTACTAGAAGGCACTTGCCTGGTATACAGTCAGTGTTACATAAATGTCATTTTTATCACCAAGATTACGGCATCCTGCTGGTGAGACACAGCTTCTTTGAGACACAGGCTCTGAAAGAGGAATTCTTACCATGTTAGTATCTTTTTGATGAGGTGAGTTGAAGAAGAAGGTGCTAAAAATAGGTATGTACAGGCTATCTGACAGAACAGTCAGGTAAGTCTCCGTGAATTCAAAGGCTGGGGGATGCTGGTGTACCAGCTGCCACACACAATCTAGGAAGAGCAGGAACACGGGAACCTACACAAAAACAAGAACACGTTACTCAGCACGCACAGAGCCTAATTCGGGCTGTCCGGAGACTGGGGGACCGGGGGTTGGGGAGGACAGCCATCTCACTGGCTGTGGAAGAACCATGCCTGAGCGCTAGAGTCACTCAGGTATACAGTATTGTGCTGGCCAAACAACACAAGTCAGGGATTCAAAACTCCACCCCATTCCAAGCAATGAATATACTCAACTGAAATCACATGCTTGTGGATTAATAGCAGTATCTGGTAGTACCTTTCTATGCAAAAAGACATTTTAAAAGATGAAATAGGTTAAAATCTCATTATGGCACAGCATTAACAGATGAGCATCTGCCACTGATTTTGATGATAGCAGTGTGAGCTCTGAACTCCAATTAAGTGATAACGTTATCCTCCAAAAAGAGAATTCCATTCTCCTCATTAGTATACCTGTACTACAACAAACTGTACTCGATTACAGTTGCTATTTTGAATTTTGCCTGTCCACACATAATAGCCAGGGGCTGGTCCTGAAGGCTGTGCTAGAACGAGAAGCCTTCTGACTACACTCCGCAATAAGGCTCAGAAAAGCAAGCAGCCAGCAGAAAAGGCAGAAGCAGCAAAAATGAGCTTCTCATATTTTCTCAAAAACGTAATTGTGTTTAACCCACAGGCCTCCTTTACAGCTATGTATGGGGTAAGGCCATTATTAGTAGAGACAGCAGCTTCTAGGGCGCTTTATCATTTATAAAGCACTTATCCCCACCACAGCACCTCCTGGATTCACAGTGAGCCTGTCGGGGTGGGTAAGACCGGCCATGATACAGCTTCTCCCTTACAGATGAGGAAATGGAAGATTAGGATGCCAGAGGCTGGCTCAGCTCATGAGAGAAAGGAGTTGGGAACCCAGCTATTGAATCAAAGTCCAGCGTTGCTTCAACTATATCACAAATTAGAGGACTCAGTATGTTGACATTGAAACACTGAGAAAAAATGTCTATATAGCAACTATATTTGACACTTTATTTTATGCTCAACATCATTACACAGAATGGACAATATCTGAACCTCGCTGTACAGTCAGGGAAATGGGCTCAGAAAGTATGAGTGACGTATCCAAGGGCTGGGTGAGCAGCAGGTCAGATCTTCTCTTCGAATCTTTCCCCATGAGACATGGTGCCTGTCAGTCCCACTTCTCTCAAGATACACAAAAGCACACTCTTCTCCACACAACATCAGCTTTTTCTGCCATCATACTATTTGAATCCCATCAACCTTTCAGATTAGGTCCTTGGAAAGGTAAAGTCCATTCTAAGACTGAAAGATGGTGATTTCCTCTCAGCTCGACAGGACACAGTCTGAAAGAAACCACCAGGCCTGGGGAGAGATGCCTGGGTCTCCCCAGGAACACACTAAGCCCTGAAGACAAGAAGCCTGGCTCTGTGTATCCCCACAGCATGCTGTGTCAAGCTGTTCTACCCCATGCAAACAGACATGCTTATTATTATCTGGAGTAAGAAAAACCACAAGCCGCGCTACTAGCATACGTTAGCACTACAGGTGATTTAATTAAAGAAAGCTTACCCGCTTTCATTTTTCTTCCACAACCATCAATAATGCAGCCAAAGGAGTTTGAACAGCTGTAGCCTAGACAAGTACACCACAATTCTGGGAACTCATTTTCCCTAACTGAACTGAACTGCTTAAGGCTCCAGGCCTGGAGCAGTCACACAGCCAGAAGGCAAAGGAAGCTGTGAGCACGGCCTTGTAGACATTACCCCTAAGGCTCTGGTAATGGATGGCGTTAACATGACCATATACTTTATTTTGAAAAGGTTCATGTGCAAGGAAAATGTACTCCATGCCATTATGTAATGTATTTTCTATAGGAAACTCGTGCCCTGAATATCCCTTTTTTCACAAAGACTAACTTAGGAGAAATTGCAGGAGTCTCTCTCACTGAGTTTCTATTTAAGTTTCACAAATCAATAATACTCCCACCACAAAACATATGTATACACTCTTGGTGTGCACAATTGGTATGAATGACAATTCAGAAGACGAGGCTCTAAGCACACGTGTTAATATTCCTTTCCTTTGGGAAGGGTTTCAATATTCTCAGAACATTCAAAGTCAACCAACAGTGAGGTGCCAACCGTTCTCCCAACAAGCCTGCTGTACAGCGTGCACCTTGTCAGCAGCAGCCCTACCTCTGAAGACAGGTACTACCTGTTGAGACCGAGTGCTTCTCTCCATGACTGAAACATCCGGAAAGCAGGAAACTCACCTCCTCTTTGTCATTCTGGCGTAAGTGGTTGCAGCGATCCAGGAAGCAGTGGCCGCCCATGATCCACTCCTTTTGGATGAGGCTCTGGAAACCAAACCTGGTTCGACAGTGGGGATCCATCATGACTTGCACCAGAGAGGAGACGATACAGCAGAGGTCCGAGGCAGTCTCCTCTGGGGCAGGACCAGCAGCAGGGCAAAGAGGAAGGAGGGTACAAGGCATTTAAAAGCCACAAAGAGCGCTCTCACTTGCCGTTAACAGGAAGGTTCCCCACGCCTAGGTCTGCTATTAACAATCAAGCTCTTATTCTCTAAAAGGCAAGGGCCAATGAAAAAGTGGTCACACTTTCAGACTGAGATAAACTGTTTCATGCCTGTCTCCTATAGGTTCCGGCACACACCAGTACTGAATACGTCATTGGTACCGAATGAAGAAAGGCAGTGCTGCAAATCCACATCAGCACGTGGGCATCCAGATGTACCACACAGTGAGGGCTGAACCATACACAGAACAATGACCTGCCCCGCTCTACAGACCAAGTTTAAAGCCCGTCCCTCCTGGTCCATCACAGAACTCACTGCCCTGAGGCTCAGGCTGCTGCTCTCAGATTCACCTCAGAGCCTTCCCTCCCCTCTAATTCCCCCACTAACTCTGCTTTGGGGAAAGTTTAATATTTTTGGATTGTACCAAAATGGTGCCACCTTATCAGCTCTGAGGCGCCTTCCTTTTCTGTTTCAGGAGCAGAAAGGTGCCTGCTTCTCCTTGCCTAGTCTGGACGAGAAAGTCCTCCTTGGTCTACTTCCATTTGCCCACCCTTGTAGTGCACTTTACAAAACCCATACAACGAAGGTTCCATTCCCATGCTTGTTTATCATGCATGACTTCTAGCAAATAAAAATATACACCTACATCCATGGATTTGTCTCAGAGTTTTAAGATCCTAAAAATCAGGGTCTACGTCCCCACAGTTTCCTCTTCATAAAAATAAGTGCAACTCAAGTTGCTTTTTAAAATGTTCATGAGGATGATGGTGCTAGTATTACTGGGGCAAGAGAAACCTGAGGACGGCCTCTAAGTAGGGAGGTGTTTCTACTGTTAAAACTCTTCATTCTGACCCCTGTAATCACGTGGTATTACAAGTCCAGTCTTAATGCTTGTGCTTCATTTTCTCCTCCAGGAAACAAGCCTAAAGCATGGGAACTCATGGGTTTAAAAGAAACAGAAGTTTTTATTTTTGTCTTTCTAGAGCTGCCAGTTTCATTTTTAAGGGGACTTTCCTTCTTGCATCTGAAGGATGTTAACAGTAGAGCTGTGGGTGATAGGAAGGAGAGCTAGAACATGAGACTCCGGATGAGAGACAACTCAGCAGTCCATTTAGGAGTGACATCTCAGTGGCACATTAGCCAAAGATTCGGATTTCATTTTCAGCAATAGCTCGTGATTAATGTGGTCCGGCCCTGGGTACTTCCATCACTCAGACCCCCACTCTTTATCCCTCCTTTCACCAGTTACTCAGGACTAAAATAATACTCTCTTCTCTTATTGTCGGTTAGGTCTTTTTCAATAACATGCTTAGGCCAACCCTCGCATTATCTGTAAACTTCTAGAAGGGGGCCAAAGGATAGAGCTCTGCACACTTTAGGTGCTCAATAAATGTGTTATAATCTAGGTCAGTGAGCCAGCGTCGGATGGTACAGGTGTCACAGGCAGACACATCTTCCAGTCCGCCCTTAGAATCTAAATCTTAACAGTTACGGAGAGCATCAGAGAAATTATAAAAGCTTGTAGGTGTAAAAGTGTGAGACTGTCTATTTAATTTGTAGTGTGGAGCTATACGAAACTTAAAATGTTCTAAACAGTTAGCTCAGATCTAACCAACTACCAAACTAAAACCCAGTGCTGACAGGGCAGAACTGCCCCATAGAGTTTCCAAGGCAGTTTACACTTGCTTTTATACATTCTGAATCTTTTATATCACTGTCCTCATGTACAGCAAGTTATGCCCACTAAGGAAAGGAAATCTCAGGCCACCAAGTTTATACGGCAACTGTACGAAGTTGTCAAACACATAAAAATACAAAGGTAACCATTAAACCATTTCCTGCGCCCCTTTACGTAAAAGGGATTATTGAAATATTTTAACTTTAATCAAGCTGAGTTAATATAAAACAAAATCCAAAACATTAGGAAATTTAAGCTTTGGTAAAGATACCAAACAATTCCTTCTTGGGCTGAAAACAGGTCTACCAAGTTCCAAGTCAAAGAATTTATTTTTAAACTGAAACATTAAAATCCAAGGCAGAATGCAATAAATGTCACGAAGCAAAACGTGTATAAATTGTTGAATGGGAAACTCTGTAAACTTTCACCCAATAAAATGTTAAAAAAAAAAAAAAAATCCAAGGCAAAGGATTCCAAGGTCAGAGCAGAAAAAAATGGGAAAGGATTTCTATACTCGCTAGTCACTCCTTTTATAAGACAATGACAGTTACATAAAGCTGTGTACACAAAAATTGAATCTCAAGTGAAGGAAATGGAAATCATCCTTTGTGCTTTAAATATATTACCTAAAAGAAGAACGTTCATGTTTTGTGCTTCCAGACATTCTGTAATCTCTATTGCTTTTTTAAGACAACGCCTAAATAGGAGAGAGATGAGAAAAAGGGGCATTAGTTCTTGAGCTTGGTACCATAAACGATGAGAAATTTAGAAGTTTGAACTGATCTTCACTTTTCTGTCTCACTTATTTTTCTATGCTAAAATCCTTCAGAAAAGAAACAAATTACCATTTATGCTATTCAGACACTGGGAGACATACATCTGCCATAAAAAACTTAAAATTTTTAGAAGGGAATCCTAAAACTGACATAAAAATGCTCATAGGTAATTTCTAAACTAGGTTTGTACTGAAAACTCATACTTGAGTTTGCTGGTGAGTTCTAGTAAGATCCATAAATGCTCCCACCTGAAGAATCTGATGAATGTCCACATTGTTTTGACTCAAGGCAACTTGACATCTGTATTAGTGTGGCTGAAAACATCCAATATGACCAGAAGCCCTTTCTGCTCTCTCTAGACAGATCATTTCCTTTGAAACCATTACCACTATGCAGCTTTGACTTGTCCTGCACTTATAGCTAGGAGCCTTCACATATGCAGCTCTCTATCTGCAGTGGGGACCCCTTCTTCCCCCATTTCCACAGCCCCCCATCTCCTCATCTGGTTAACAATGCTTACCCTTCTCTGACCATCCCACACAGAGAAGGGTTCTTTCCTTTTAATACATTTATCACAGTTTGCGATTATAAACTGAAATCATGGGACATGCAGCAGGGCTTTCAATACTTATTTACTGAGTGAGTGGATGGCTGAGGCTCCTTTTCATAATACCTAGGGCAGACCTAAGAAAGGATGCCACGCTGGGGTGAAAAGAAGAACCCCTCTCTCTCCTCACCTCGGTCATCATGTCTACTTTGTACTTTCTTCTGCCCTGTCTTCTATCTAACTGTAAGACAACGCAATCAAAATAGGGAGGAGGAAAGGAACTCTAATACTGTTCTCTGCAAATCTCAACCTAATTCCATAACCAAAAATGACTACTTGACATTAATTATGATTTTTAAAAAATCTTTTAATAGGTAGTAGACAGATAAGACACAACACGCAAAAGGCATTCAGTGACAGGTCAGTATCCCTCCTACCACCATGTCCTACTTTCCTCCCTGGAGGCAAGCACTGCTACCTCAGTTATAATTCTGGATTGCCATGTTCCCTTTCTTACAGTCTTTCAATGCCTAGACTATAGAGTAAATTTCTTCGTAAGCAGGTATGACGTCTGTAAATTCCTATCAAATGTGCACAGAAACAGTAAATAACAAATGTAAAATCCAGCCGAGCCCTAAACAGAGTATACAGTCTAAGAATATTTAATTGTGAAATATAAAACGGTTAAATTATTTGTCAATTTGCTTTACTATTTTGAATTAGAGTTACAAAATTCACGAGCAAAAGAACAGCCTGAAATACCTGATCATCTCAAGCCAGCCGCTACTTTCCAGCAGAGAAAACCATTTTATATCTGTGTCCCAAAATTCAGTACTGTTATCTGAAAAGAGAAAAAAGAGCAAAGAAGTCAGGTCACTGTTCACTGACATACCTCCCATGAAAAATCTGTGCTACTCAACTGTGCTATTCAGATGAGCGGTCCTAGGCTTACACTACAGAATCCAGGCACAAGTCTCCACCTTAAGTAAAAGGCATTTCAAAACTTCAGCTGAAATGTATGCCCCTAGAAGGATGTGGTAGTCAAAAAGCAGATCTTTACTGTTCAAGTAAGAAATACCCTACAATACAGATACAAAGCCATGGTCTACCCTACAATTCAACAGAGACAGTAACTGGTTTTAGGCAGAAATAATCAACATCTAGGTTGCTATTCCTAGAAGTGGAAAATGCAACAGGATATATCCCGATGCTGTGGAGCTGAAGGGTGGGGCTTGAAATACACAACTACAAGTATCTTGAACACCGCTGTACAATTCCCCATTCATATTCTGTAAAATAGAAAACACTGAATTTTACCGACATCTAATACATTTAAAAATTACAAACTAAAATCAGTAACTGCAAATCAGGATGATTAAAACAACAACAATTGGAGAATCACAGTCCTAGATCAATTAGTAAAATTAATTATTCTCTCCTTCAAATCCCTACTTCTTACAAATATATTTTATAACATGTATTACAATGTGTTTTAGTTAGAGGTGTACCCTTCCATTTCCCCAGAAGAGTATGAGCTTTTGGTGTCCTATTCATCTTTATCACCAATGCCTAGCATAGTTAGTGTATATAATGGAAATTCATGTTTCATGAATAAATGAAGAAATTCCAAATTAGGCTAAAAGGTCCAAATTAGGAAAAGGTATCCACACTGTGACAAATCTCAGAGGGTAAAGACTCATACAAGAATGAAGAGAATCAACAAGAGACTGAGCATGATCACACAGGATTCAAGTTTTAAATTGTTAATAGTGGGCAGCCTGGACAGTGAAGGGGGGTGGTTGGGATGGGCTTCTTTCGTTTTCTACTTTGTACATTTCTGATTAATTGATTTTTTTACACTGTAAAATGTGTGTGTGTGTGTGTGTGTGTGTGTGTGTATTCAATCAAAAAAAATTAAGATATTTCCTCTTAGAAAAAATAAAGTCCACGCAATACGATACTAAAGAAAACAAACAGATTATTCAGGCTTTACAAATCACTATGAACAAGTCAGTGAATACAGGTATTGCATAGTTCAACTTTTAAAGGAAGAAGCCAAAATGCTCACCACTGGGCAACTGGTGTGCACTGCCTCAAGAAGGGGGCAGTGGGGTAAAAGCCTGGAGAAAGATGGAGAGGTGGTGGGGCAATGTCAGCTGCCCTCGGCTACTGGACCCTCCACTCCACATGAGGTGACCCTCATGACAGCATCTGTGTACTACCACGAAGAACCCAGGGAAAAGGCATCAACTTTCACCTGATCCATGTGGCATGTCTTCCCCCATTTGACAGAAAGTTTTTGCTCAGCATTCTTCTCACCTATCAGAAACAGCTGTTTAAATTTAGAGTATGCAGTCTGGATTTCCTGCAGGGATAGGAAGTTGCTTGATAGGTCTTCAGTTTTAACAATTTCATAGGGTGGCCTGTGGATGGTCTTGTAAATTCTAGGTATCAAAAAGTAACAAGAGATTAGAAAAGCAAACGTAAAATAAAAATAGTTAATTTTTCCAAAGCTCTGATTGTGTGCCAAGATCTGTGTTAAGAGCTCTGTAGATATTCTCCTATTTAATCCTCACCAATCAGGTAACTAGTAACCAAAAAATCAAACCCATTGCCATCGAGTCAATTCCGACTCACAGTGACCCTATAGGACAGAGAACTGCCCTACAGGGTTTCCAAGGAGCAGCTGGTAGATTTGAACTGCCGACCTTTTGGTTAGCAGCCGTACCTCTTAACTACTGTGCCACCAGGGCTCCAATGAGGTAACTAGTACAGGACTGCTATTCTCAGTCAACAAATGTGGAAACAGAGGTCCACAGAGCTTAACTACCTGCCCAAGATTATGAAGTTTATAAACTGATAGAGTCATGATTTGAACCAAGGCAATACAATTCCAGAGTCTACTTTTGGATTTACTTTTAATCAATCTACTTTTTTGGGGGGGAAGATGTTCAAACATTCAGAAAAGTGGAAAAGAATAGTACAATGACATGTACCACGACCTAGATTTCAAGAAAACTGTTAATATTATAGACATCATATAATTTCGTCCCTAAATATTGCATGCGTCTCTCACAACAATGGAGTTAACATCTGTAATGATTAGGTTATACTGACTCTTTTCCTATAAATTGTATTTTCCTAGACTAAGCTATCAGCAGGTAAACAGAAATGGATATATTACAAAGAACTGTCCCCTGCTTCTTGGAAAAGAAGAAAAACTGAACTAAACGATGGCAAAATATAGAACTAGTACCAACCCATCCAAGAAGCTTTTTTGGATTTGTAAAATGCCATCATCTTGTTCTTTGGGCAGTGCTGACATTTTCAAAAGAGCACATCCATTGTGGCAGGACCAACACCAAATCTGCAGAGAGGAACAAATAAAGGTTTTCCAGACATATACACAGCCTAACAGGGGACAGGTAAGCTTAGCATTTAAATTCATACAGGGAAATTTAAACTTCAATAAGAAATGGCTGAATGCACCCAATTTTACTAAGCCGAGGAGCATTTACCTGTAATGAAAAAGACTGATTTAAGTCTTAAAAAACAACAACAACAAAACAAAACAGGTTTCACTGTAGTCAGACTCAGACTTGCACCTTTTGATTTGGCCTTAGTGCTGGTAACCTACATGATGACAGCAACAACATTATTATTATCAGGCTAGCAGCTATCACTGGAGTGCAGCTTACTATGTGTCAGGCATTTGACATGAAATTAACTCGTTTAATTCTCACAGTCACCTTCTGAAATAGGTACGATTATTATCCCCATTTATAACAAGAAACTGAGGCTGAAAGAGACTGCATAACTTCCTCAAGATGCACAGAAAGTAACAGCAATCTGCCTCTAAAAATACCATGTTCTCATCCACTGTATTATACCGCCTCTGTTATTGTTGTTAGCTGCTGTGGAGTCCACCCCCAACTCATGGCAATCACATGCACAACAGGATAGGACCATTGTGTTTTGACTGGCTGATTTTTCGGAAGTAGATTGCCAGGACTTCCTAGTCTGTCTTAGTCCAGAAGCTCCACTGAAATTTGTTCAGCAGGCCTCCACTGACAGACAAGTGATACCTATGGTTGAGGAGCACTCACCAGGAATTGAACCTGGATCTCCCACGTGAAAGGCAAGAATTCTACCACTGAGCCACCACTGCCCCTGTATTGCCTCCACCTGAATTTACCAAAGGAACCGGTGCCCACCAATGGAGACAGTTCACACTAGAGATAATGGAAAGTTGACTGTTCGACATATACTGAACATGACACTCATACATGTAAGGCACTGCATTAGGTAGTGAGAGGACATAAAGATGACTAAGGAGCTTACACTCTAAAAGAAGAAATAAGTTTACAAGGTAGAAAAGAAGGTGGAATGTGGTAAACAACAGGAGAGAATTTCAAGGAGTACAACAGGGAAGTAAGAAAAAATCATGTGAATGACCATAAATGACAGGTTAAGGTGTTCAGTGTTTTTCTGGATACAGTCGTTTTTGTCTGTTTGTTTTGCTGGGGATCAGAACTGATTGTGGGGCAAAGTAATAGGCCAGGGGTGCCTGGAATGGAGGAGGCAGAAAGGCTGGGTGGAGAGACAGAGCACAGTTGTGGACTCTGGACCCTGCATAAAGGCCTGGCTAAGGGTTCGAGAGTGGCTAAAGCCCAGCCCTTGCTCTGCTGACCAAGCCACTGGCTATGGCACAAAGGGTTGGACTTTGAGGGCAAGGGTGTCTTTTGTAATTCAGCTGCCCAGGGAGGCACCCTTTTGCCATTCATCTGCCAAGACGGGTCATCTGTTTATAAACCACACATTGGAAATGCTGGCAGCAGCCAGGGCTGGGAGAGTAAAGACCAGCACAACATTCCAGAAGACACTCTGCACAACACTTACAAAGTCAGAAAGAGGAACCTGTTTGAGTATCAGGGGAAGATGACGGCATCAGTACTGGTTATGCTGGGTGTCTAGTGCCAACAGGACATTTGTGTGGAGATATTCAGAGGCACCTAAAATGAGGATCAAAGGCTTAGGAGAGGTAGGCAGGACTGGAGCTCTGGGCATGGGAGTTGATGCCAGTTGAAACAGAAGAGATGATGACCTGACCCAGGGAGAAGGCAGAGGGAAGCTTTAGGAACTGCAAAAAAGAGAAGCGACACTGGGTCGAGCTGTACTTTGATTCTCTGACTCACAATGAGGCGGAAGTGTTAAACAAATCAAAGGGTCATTTGTTATTCTCTTATTCCCTTTCCAATGCCATGTCAAGCAATATGCAGAAACCACCACACAGCTGTCAGCCCTCTGTCAAAGGCAGTGATGTTTTCAATGCCCAGGCAGTCTTGCCCACCTAGTCAGTGCAGCTCACTCAGACGAAGGAGAGACACTCTTAGCCACTACTGGACAACACAGTCTAAGGAGTTAAGTGTTCTTAATCCTTTTTTATTTCCTCTCCTGGGGCAGAAAGGGTTGGCCTTTACGATACTCAACCATAACTCATTTTCCATTTGGGGTATGTGTAATGATAATCTCCAATCATAACTTTCTCATTTTATTTGAGGCACTAAGGGGCAGTTTCCTTTCTATGCTCAATTTGAAACATTAAATAGACAACAAGCATAATTCCTGGTCAGAGATGGACTCTTTCAGGAATTTAGCAAAAAGCACATGTCTTCTCCTATTGCTGCAATATGTACAATTTCTCTCTGATAAAAGGCCACAGAGTTCTCCTACTGCCTATTAAAAGTTACGATCTGAGTGCTTATTATATGCCAGATTCTGGGATAAATTATATGTATATATAATCTCATAGATCAACAGCTCAATCTTTTTGGTTTTTGAACCTCATCACACTCTTAAGGTGCACTGGTAGCGCAGTGGTTAAGCGCTAGGCTGCTAACCAAAAGGTCAGCAGTTCAAACCCACCAGCCGCTACACGGGAGAAAGATGTGGCAGTCTGCTTCCATAAAGATTTTACAGCCTTGGAAACCCTATGGAGCAGTTCTACTCTGTCCTATAGGGTTTCTATGAATCAGAATCGACTCGACAGCAACGGGACACACTCTTAAAAATTATTAAGGACCCAAAAGAGCTTGTGTTTATGTGAGTTATATTTATACCATTTACCAATTAGAAATTAAAACTGAGAAACTTAAAAAATATTAATTAGAAAACAATAATAATAAATCAATTACATGTTAACATAAAAAAATACATTTTCCAACAAATATTTGTGAGAAACGTGGCACTATTTTACATTTTTGCAAATCTCTTAATTATCTGGCTTAATAAAAAATAGCCTGATTTTCTTATCTGCTTTAGGAAAAAAAGCATGAAGAATAAAGTGTAAGTACGAGTAGGTTCGACAGGAATGAGACACAGAAAGAGGAAAAAGGTAAAGGATATAGCCAGGGAGGGGCTTATTAACTCCTAGGGAACTTAGTTGTCATATTTTCTGTAAGTTTACTTAGCAATGTCTGGTGAGACACGATAAACAAGAGACAACTACTCTAGATCACCTGAAGCCAGGAGTTTTCAACCTGAGGCGATTTTGCCTCTCTCCACACCCCAGAGGACATCTTTCAATGTCTGGAGCCGGGCCTGGTTGTCTCAACTGGAAGGGGGGACTACCGGCATCTAGTGGGTACAGGCCAGCCATGCTGCTAAACATCCTACAATGCAGATAGCCTCCCACATCAAAGAATTATCTTGCCCAGAATGTCAACAGTGCTGAGATTGAGAAACCTTGCCTGAAAGAAAACAAAAAACAAGAGGTTACAGTCCTTGTTGTTAGGAGCCGTCAAGTTGGTTCCGACTCATAGCGACCCTATGTACAACAGAACGAAACCTGCCTGGTGCAGCGCCATCCTCACAATCGTTGTTATGCTTGAGCCCATTGTTGCAGCCACTGTGTCAACCCATCTCGTTGAGGGTCTTCCTCTTTTTCAATGACTCTCTACTAAGCATGATGTCCTTCTCCAGGGACTGGTCCCTCCTGATAACACATTCAAAGTATGTGAGACACAGTCTTGCCATTCTCACTTCTAATGAGCATTCTAGCTATACTTCTTGGAAGACAGATTTGTTCGCTCTTCTGGCAGTCCAAGGTATATTCAATATTTTCGCCAACACCACAATTCAAAGGCATCAATTATCCTCCAGTCTTCCTTATTCATTGTTCAGCTTTCACATGTATATGTGGCAACTGAAAACACGCTGGTTTGGGTCTGATGCACCTTAGTCCTTAAAGTGACATCTTTGCTTTATAACACTTTAAAGAGGTCTTTTGCAGCAGATTTCCCAATGCAATGTGTTGTTTCATTTCTTGACTGCTGCTTCCATAGGCATTGACTGTGAATCCAAGTAAAATGAAATCCATGACAACTTCAATCTTTTCTCTATCATGATGTTGCTTATTGGTCCAGTTGTGAGGAATTTCGTTTTCCTTAGGTTGAGGTGTAATCCATACTGAACGCTGGAGTCTTTGATCTTCATCATAAGTGCTTCAAGTCCTCTTCACTTTCAGCAAGTAAGGTTGTGTCATCTGCATAATGCAGGTTGTTACTGAGTCTTCCTTCAATCCTGATGCCACGTTCTTCTTAATACAGTCCAGCTTCTCGGATTATTTGCTCATCATATAGATTGAATAAGTATGGTGAAAGGATACAACCCTGACGCACACCTTTCCTGACTTTAAACCACACAGTATCCCCTTGTTCTGTTCAAACAACTGCCTCCTGGTCTAAGTACAGGCTCCTCATGAGCACAATTAAGTGTTGTGGAATTCCCATTCTTCGAAATGTTATCCATAATTTGTTAAGATCCACACAGTTGAATGCCTTGTATAGTCAATAAAACACAGGTAAACATCTTTCTGATACTCTCTGCTTTCAGCCAAGATCCATCTGACATCAGCAATGATATCCCTCATTCCACATTATCTTCTGAATGTGGCCTGAATTTCTGGCAGTTCTCTGTTGATATACTGCTGCAACTGCTTTTGAATGATCTTCAGCAAAATTTTACTTTCGTGTGATATTAATTGTATTGTTCGATAATTTCTGCATTCTGTTGGATCACCTTTGGAATGAGTACAAATATGGATCTTTTCCAGTTGGTTGGCCAGGTAGCTGTCTTCCAAATTTCTTGACATAGACGAGTGAGCGCTTCCAGTGCTGCATCCATTTGCTGAAACATCTCAAATGGTATTCTGTCAATTCCTGAAGCCTTGTTTTTCACCAATGCCTTGAATACAGCCTGGACTTCTTCCTTCAGTACCATTGTTTTTTTTATCATATTCTACCTCCTGAAATGGTTGAACGTTGATCAGTTCTTTTTGGTACAGTGACTGTGTATTCCTTCCATCTT